CTCGTTAGCTTCTCTGTCGTCGAAATTTCGATACTTCGAAATTTCGATACTTCGGTATTTCGATATTTCGGTATTTCGGTATTTTCGGTACGGTATCGATAACCGATACCGACGAGTTTCGGTATTTTTTTAATACCGAAGTTCGGTACTGAAATTTCAATACCGCACAGCCCTATGTACGGCTGTGCCTGTGCGGCGGCCTCGGCCCGCGCTGTGACGTCAGGCGCGGCGCGCGGGCACATCTCCCGCCTGGGCGCGCCTGGCTGGGTAACTTGCATAACCGCGCTAGCGCAGCCGCGAGCGGTACGGCGGCGGGTTGGCAGGCAGGTGTGCAGCCCGGCGCGGGCCCGGCCCTGCGGCCCCGACCGAGGCTAGGCTGGGGCTGGCTAGGTCGCGGCTCAGCAGCGGCGGGCGCAGCAGCCAGCGAGGGGCGCAAGGTGCCTGCCTGCAGGTGCGCCAGCTGCCGACGCCATCTGTGCGCGAGCGAGCAAAGGGAGGGTGCATAAATCGCGTCTCCGCTTTTCCAGCCGCGGCCCCGGCCGCGCGGGGGTGGCTTCTTACTGTCGGATCGCAAGGAGGAGTTTTCGCTGCGCGACGACGACGCCGGTCTTTTGTTTGCGTAACCAGATTTTTCCCATTGCTTTGTTAATTGGATCCACCTTGCCGTGAACCTCGGCGCGCGGGTCTCCGGCCCGGCCACACACACACAGAGTCTCGAGGTTCTGCTCCAGGGCGCCCCGCGCTACGCCGACGCTACGCCGATGACCTCCTGGGAAAGGCGGGGCTGCCGCACAGCGCCGCTCAGCGCCGCCGCCGTGATGTGCAGTTCCGGTTCCGGCCGTTGGTTCTGCGTCCGGCGCGCGGCACGGCGCGGGGGGCCCGGCCAAGCCGCGTCGGTGGACGGCCTGGGTAACGAAGGCGACGATGGTTGTGGTGGTGATGGTGCTGCAGCTCGCCACAATACCGGGCGCGGCTGTTCCATGGATCCACCCCTCGCCCGTCGTAGAGGATGCACAGCATCGCGATGCGCCCCAAGGCCGGCGCGGGGTGGAACGGTCACACAACTCGCGGGCCGGCCGCGCGGAGTTTCTCGCGCGGGGCACAGTCAGTAGCGCACGGCCCGCCCCTTTGTGTTGCTGTGGGAACGGTATGACGGACACTGTATACAAATGCACCTACATGCCCCTGGCGGGGCGCGGTGGGGCGAGGCGGGGCCCCGGCGCTGAAGGCCGCCGAAAGTCGCACCGTAGCGCGGCAGCTCAGCGCCACGTCGACGGCGTCCTCGCGTATGAGCCCGCACCTCCCC